CTTCAACTTCTCTCATCAGTGTTTTACAGTTTTCAGTGTACAGATCTTTTACCTTCTTAGTTGAATTTATTCCTAAATATTCTACTCTTTTTGATGTTATTGTAAGGGGTTTGTTTTCTTTTGTTTATATAGATTTTTAGTTTGTTAATGTATAGAGACAGCTAATTTTTGTATGTTGATTTTGTATCCTGCAACTTTACTGAATTTGCTTATTAGTTGTTACAGTTTTTTGTGGAGTCTTTAATGTTTTCTATATATAAGATATATCCATAGTGACAATTTTACTTCTTCTTTTCTGATTTAAATGCCTTTTATTTTTATTGCCTAATTATTATGGCTAGAATTTCCAGTGCTATGTTGAATAGGAATGGTGAGAGTGGACACCTTTGTCTTGTTCCTGGCCTAAGAGGAAAAGGTTTCAACCTTTCACCATTGGGGATGATATAGCTGTGGGCTTGTCATATATGGCCTTTATTATGCTGAGATACATTTCTTCTATACCTAACTTATTGAGAGTTTTTATCATAAAACAATGTTAAATTTTTTCAAATGCTTTTTCTGAGCCTATTGAGGTGATGATATGATTTGTATCCTTCATTCTATTAATGTGGTGTATCACATTTATTGATTTGCATATTTTGAACCAACCTTGATTAATGTTGTTTATTTGACATCTTTATTTTTTCTTCATGTAGGTATTTATAGCTATAAACTTTGCTCTTAAAATTGCTTTTGCTGCATCTGATAAGTTTTGTTATGTTGTGTTACCATTTTCATTTGTCTCATGATATTTATTTCTTTTTATTTCTTCTTTGATCTATTGGTTGTTCAAGAATACGTTATTTAATTTCCATGTATTGGGGCGCCTGGGTGGCTCAGTCATTAAGCGTCTGCCTTTGGCTCGGGTCGTGATCCCAGGGTCCTGGGATCCCTGCTCGGCAGGAAGCCTGCTTCGCCCTCTCCCACTCACCCCGCTTGTGTTCCCTCTCTCGCTGTGTCTCTCTCTGTCAAATAAATAAAATCTTAAAAAAATATATAAAAAAATAATTTCCATGTATTTGCAAATTTTCCAATTTTCCTCATTACTGACTTCTAGTTTCATGCCGTTGTAGTCAGAAAAGATACTTGAGGTATTTTCAATCTTCCTGAATTTATTGAGACATGTTTTGTGCTATAACATATGATCTACTTTGAATAATGTTCCATGTGGGTTTGAGAAGAATGTATATTCTGCTGCTGTTGGATGGAATGTTCTGTATATGTCTGTTAGGTCCATTTGGTCTATAGTGTTGTTCAAATGTTTCCTCATTGATTTTCTGCCTAGATGATCTATTTGTGTTGAGAGTGGGTATTAAAGTACCCCTAACACATCTTTTTTTTTTTCCTATGGGAAATTATAATCTCCTGTTTTTGGGTGTGTTTGAACATATCATAAACTTTATGCTTCCATACCCTGCATACTATCGCTTCCACCTGCAATTCTATTCCCCTACACCTTGTCTGGTGTTGACTTCTTTTAATATTCAGCTTTAAAATTACATGTTTTGGGCACCTGGGTGGCTCAGTTGGTTAAGCATCTGCCTTCAGCTCAGGTCATGATCCCAGGGTCCTAAGATTGAGCCCTACATCGGGCTCCATGCTGATGGGGAGCCTGCTTCTCCCTCTCCTCCCCACTCGTGCTCTATCTCTCAAATAAATAAATAAAATCTTTAAAAAATAAATAAAATTACATCTTTTTCTGTTAAGCCACCCTGACTGTCAGATAAGTCCACAGGCATTGGACTTGATAATAACTTCTATTTTGCCACCCAGAAGTCCTACTGTATTCATAGCAATTATGTGCTGTGTGTCTCTTGCCTCCACTGAACCAATTTCTTCCACTATAGTCCATGCCTTCTGTTTACCCAGACCTTCAAACTTGGGAGATAACAGTAAATATCTACTGAAACAAATAAAGTGAGGTATCCTAGAAGAGAAAACAGTATATAAAAATAAGGATTGGCAAAGGTAATGAAGGACATTAGCTACAGTGTGTGCCTGCTTAATTTAGGCATAACATAGAAAATCAGATTATGGAAGAGGGGAAAAATGCTACAGGCATCAGATTTGATCTGGGTCCTGGTATTCAAAAAGGAGAAACAAGGTAAATTACTCAGTTGTAGTATTTAAAAGGAGAAAGCTTACCAATTTTTTAAGATCAGTATTTCTTCAAAATATCTAATCATTAATTACCTGGGATTCCTGTTGGATACAGATCACTAGCCCCTCCTCTAATGATTCTGAGTTGGCAGATCTGTGATAGAGACCAGAAATGTGTATTTTTACAAGCACTATCAGATGCTTCTCATTATTAGCAAAGTTTGGAAAGCCATAACTAAAGGCCGAGGTTCACAGAGCCTCTAGTGTCTAAATAATTTTCTCATGGTGCCTCAGGCCAGAAGAAATACCCCAATATTACATTTAAGTGGATAGATCCAGACAATAGTTACAGTTGTTAACAGAGTCCAACAGATGGCACTGTGTTTCCCTCAAAAAAGTTAGAATACCCCATAGAATTCCCATGAGTTCCTGAGGCACCCAGAGTCCCTCGAGCCTATGAACTATAGCTTAAAGGGAACATTTTCCTGGAATAGCATCTAAATAAAGTATCTGAACTTGCCTTCTATAGGTAGATTGTGCAAACCAAGTAGACAGTGTATTCCAGGAATTTCATCACTTTTTATATCATTTATTGCAGTTTTCATATGGTTGTTATTATAGAGGAGTATCATTTTTTTATAAAGAGTGGGAGAGTATATATTTTAGGTTTGGGGGGCCACAAACGGCATTTATTGTATATTCTTCTGTGTTGCAGCCCTTTAAACATGTAAAAACCATTCTTATCTCCTGATGTGGCCACACACACACAGGTTGTAGTTTGCCAACTGCTATTCTAGTTATAAGCCTAAGTTATAGCATTAAATGCAATTCATTGAAGGGGATTCTGCAAGGGTAGAAGCTCTCAGTATTTCCCTATCTCCTCCATTTTGCTCCAGGCAAAACTGGACAAATATGCACCCTTGCAACTAATAATGTGAAAGGTCTACTTGATTGTAAAGTTATTGTAAACAGAAGGTTGTTATAAACTTTTGTTTTTAATTCTTGATTTAATGACAATTTGCAAGTTTTTCCAGTTAATAAAGAATACCGGTTAAATTTCTAAGAAAAGGAGACTGGTCATTGCATCAAGCCCTTTATTACTTACTTGCTGATTACTATAAATGGCTAATGAGGTTCTACAATTATAACTAATATGGCCAGCTTTAGCTTATACTAGATTCAATAACTTGATAGAATATGCTATTTGAGACTCCTAGCTTTATTTTCAAAATTGGTGTCGCTGTCTTAAAAATATACACTGTGCTTAGTCCTAAGGTTTTGTTACTTTAAAAAACTAGTAAGTACTGTTCCTATGCTAGTCAGTAAATATCACTAGCAGTAAATATCACTAGCAATAATGGCATTGAGAAAAATAAAAAAATTTCTTGAGGAAACTTCAATCTGCATATAAAAAGTGCAATATTTTGGGTGCCTGGGTGGCTTAGTTGGTTAAGCATCTGGCTCTTGATTTTGTCTCCGGTGGTAATCTCAGGGCCCTGATCTCAGTGTGGTGAGATGGAGGCCACCCTCTGGCTCCCAGCTCAGCACGGAGTCTGCTTGAGACTTTCTCCCTCTCCCTCTGCCCCTCTCCTCTGCTCTAAAATAAATAAAATCTTAAAAAAATAAATAAATAAAAAGGGCAATTTTTTTTAAAGTGCACCATGTAAATTCTTCCAAGTTCCAATCTCTTACAGCGCCCCTCCCCCGGAAAAAGATGTTTGTTGATTGACACTTTCCCAGTAACCCCCTCTTCCTATGTTGTCTTAAGTACCCTGAAATTATCACTCATTACATTAAAAATTTATTCATGTGGCAATTTGGTTACTTACTTTTTCTCCCATCAGACCAATATTCCACAAGAGTAAAGACAATGTCTGATTTGCTCACCATTCTATCCCCAAACACATAGAATTGTGCCTACTGCCTGTTAAGCGTTCAGTAAGTATTTGCAAATTTATGGGTCAAGCACAGAACTGACATTTAGGGTCAGAATTATTCAATGGTAAGCATTAAGCATTTAATGACTAGTAGACTTTAAGTTCCGGGGCCACCACTTATTTTCCTTGGGTCAATAGAAACAGCGCTTCAATCTTCTAGTTTATTTCCTCATTTGTAGAACAGGGATATTTCTACCTCACCGGGATGTTGCTAGGATCTTGTGGGAGAGGGAGTTTATTTGCTTTGCAAAAGGAAGGTGAGTTTCAGACACTAGTCTGGCCCAGGCGCTCAGGGCAGCTACTGAGGCACGCCCACGTTACCCCGTTATATAAGGGGCCAGCCCGTCTGGTGTCTTCTGAAATCTCTGACCCTACGTCACCGGCCACCGCCCAGAGGGACACCGTATGACGCCCTGAGGTAGGCAGGGAGGGTGGGACCCGGCGGGGCCCGCCTGATGCCAGCCGCCGGCTGGAGAAAGCGTCCGAGACGTAACTGCTGCCGAGGCTGAAGCCGGAAGCCCCGCCCGACCTCGCCGGTTGCCGGTCCCCATTAGGCTAGTTCGAACGTGACCTTGTTTTGGCGTTGCTAGGAGACCAGGCTCCCGCACGCCCCCCACTGGCCAGCGCCCCAGCGAGAGCTGAAAGGGGGCGGGGCCGCGGCTGGCTCGGGGAGCGATCGGCAGAGCACCGTTAGGCTGCCTGGCGCGCGGCGCCCACCCGGCGCCCCCAGAAGCGGCGTCTCGTCTCCGGCCACCAACGGGGCCTCACTGGTGCCTTCCGGCAGGTACCAGCGTGCTCCCGAGCGGCTGTGAGCAACGTCGGGTCCGGACGGGGAAGGACTGTGAGTCAGGTGAGCCGCAGCGGGGCAGGCAGCTGGTGTGGCCACGCCCTGCCGGAGGAGAGGAGCCGGCCGGGTGCGGAGGGGCGACGTGAGGGGATCGTGCTGAGGGAACAGTGGGCCTGCCCCTGCGGGTGCCGCACATTGAATCATTCACGCCTGGAGGCCGGCGTGGCCACAGCCAGCACCCTCCGGCCAGCGGACAAAGGGTTAACGCGCCGGCGGAGACCGCGGGCCCCGGATGTGGGAGCCGCGGCGCGGCGTCCGCTGGCCGCGCTGCAGGTGCGCGGGGGCGGGCAGAGCGAGCGGCCTGGCGGCGACCTGCCCGACCAGCCCAGGCGTCCCCTCACCTGCGGGGGGCCACTCAGCTCCCTCTGCGGGCGCCTTCTTTTCTAACTTAAGGGCAACAGGTGGTGCCTGAGGACCGAGAGAGAATCCAGCTCGGCCGCACTGGGAGCGGCAGTTACTCTCGCCAATTAGTGCGCTGGGGCGGGTGTGAATTAGACGCGCTGACGCGGGTGACCAATGGGATTTGGGCTCATGGGTGGGCCGTGAGGAGTGGGCGTGGTCAGAGTCTGAATCTACAGTTTCTAGTGCAGCAACTGCCAGAGCTGCGTGGAGAGCTAAGCTGAGCGGACGTGGGTTGTTTCTCCCCCAAAAACCCCGCTTAGAAAAACGCCTACCAAATGCTTTCTCATTTGGACCCAGACTCCAATTCCGGAGGTGAGAGCATTGTGCTATTTTTGGGGGGTCGGGGGGTTAATAGTAACCTTGGGTATGTTCTTAAGCACGTGGAATTAGATCCCCGAGATAGGTTTATGTGTTACGAGTTTTCTGCCCAAAGAGGCGCTTCTGTGGTTTTTCCGAGTTGGACCAGATACTAGTTACTAGGTTGTCTTCGGAATGAGATCTTTGAGATTTGGGAACCCAGGGAAGTAGAGAAGTACGTGTTACTGCAATTTTCGTGAATGTTAAAGAATTGCAATCACAAGGATTATTCTGTCGATTGCCTTGGTTTGCGTACGTTTCATGTTTCATTTGGTTTGTTACTGAAGCAAGTTTGGTTTTTCAAGTTCCTCGTCTTGCTTATTTAAGCAGAAAGAGAGAAAAACAGTTGCAGTATGTTATTTCACCAGAATAACTTATTCATTTCCCCCCCTCAGCAGTCTTGTAGCTGGATCCCCTAGGAAGAGAAGTTCTGAAGCAGTGAGAAGAAAGCATTTCAATTGGGATCACTTACTTGCACCTGGAAATGGGGAATGGCCTGTCAGACCAGACTTCTATCCTGTCCAGCCTGCCTTCATTTCAGTCCTTTCACATTGTTATTCTGGGTTTGGACTGTGCTGGAAAGACGACTGTGTTATATAGGCTGCAGTTCAATGAATTTGTAAATACTGTACCTACCAAAGGATTTAACACTGAAAAAATTAAGGTAACCTTGGGAAATTCTAAAACAGTCACTTTTCACTTCTGGGATGTAGGTGGCCAGGAGAAATTAAGGCCACTGTGGAAGTCGTATACCAGATGCACAGATGGTATTGTGTTTGTTGTGGACTCTGTTGATGTTGAAAGAATGGAAGAGGCCAAAACTGAACTTCATAAAATAACCAGGATATCAGAAAATCAGGGAGTCCCCGTACTTATAGTTGCTAACAAACAAGACCTGAGGAACTCACTGTCTCTGTCAGAAATTGAGAAACTGTTAGCAATGGGTGAACTGAGCTCATCAACTCCCTGGCATTTGCAGCCCACCTGTGCAATCATAGGAGATGGACTAAAGGAAGGACTTGAGAAACTACATGATATGATCATTAAAAGACGAAAAATGTTGCGGCAACAGAAAAAGAAGAGATGAATGGTGATCCTTTTTATATTTGTGTGGAGTAGGTTTTCTCTGGCCTGATGTTGACAAATGGAAGAGTGTCTACAGCCTGGTTTGCCCGCCTGCCCTCCTGGATCCTGAAAAAGCTTTGTTTTGTTGAACAATCAGATTGCCCAACTCTTTTGCCTTGTGGAAGATGAGTAAATGGAGTGCTTCTTAAAATGGTCTCTTCTCCCTACCCCACAAATCTTCTGGTACTACCATTCTGGGAAGCCAAGCATGGATAGCAAATTGACCAGAAAACAGTTGTGAAAATTTGACCTGAAGTTAGTGAAATAAAACTTTGAAGAGTGTCTGCCTAGTGTTTTGTCCTTACATCTTTTGGGGGGAAGCCTTTCAAGGAAATTGCATATAAGGCTTTGTCTGTTAAGATAAAATGCTAATGAATGGAAATGTTAAGATAGATTAATATATATAAACGGTTATATTGATCACATTGGTCCAATCAGTAAGGGATAAGGAGGAAGTGTTTGCTTTTTTAAGTTTTGGCCAAATGAATTTTGACATTTTCTGGAATCAAGTGTTGTAATGCTGTATCTTAATTCTAGACAATGGTTAAGTTGGTCTAACTTAAAATAATAAAAATAAAGTATTGGGGGCATATTCAAGTGCATGGATTAGTTTTCCTGACAATGCATGTTTTGGTGTGTAGTTTTTTACTTTTTAGAAGTAGCTATGCATCTTTCTCCATGGTCAGGTTTAAAACACCTTTTTGGGGATGTAGGGCTGTTACAGAAATAGTTTATTATCAGAAGCACTTTTACTTGAAGAACCTAAAATAATTTACTTAATTCTTTTATATAGTAAATTAGGGCATGTAGACTAATAAATGCGTACGCTTGGTATATGTATGGATTTATGAAGAAAGCAGTTGACGAATTCAGTCGAGGATGTAATTACCATACATGGTCTCTAACGTATTCCAGTTGTAAAATATTTGTTCTATTGATCCTTGCTGGCTGAACACAGATGTGGTTTGATATATTTTTGTAGTGTTTTGAGAGGAGCAGAAGCTTTATAAACAACATCTGATGCACTGTGGAGTGAGAATGTAAGAGATGTCCTGTAAGTGCTCTGAGCTTTAATTTTTTTTGTTTACAATCTCAGCAGTGTTAGTGGGGGGCAGTCCAGTCCTGATTATAAGGTAGGAAGAAATGATACAGTTCTGCGGATAAGAATTAAATTCTAGAAAATGAAGGGGAAAGTAGCGAAGCTATGTTTTGTAAAATTCGCTGGTGCTGTTCACACTGGAATCCAAAAGACCCTCTAAATTAAAAGGAGGAAAACCCATTGCCTAATGCTTATCCACAAGCAAGGACTTACTTCCAGTGATCCTGTATTAACAACTCAGCATAATTCCTGTGTAAAGCCAACAGCTGTTTGTTCTGAAGATAGCAAAAGAACTGCACTTTGCTAGCAGGGTTTTGTTTCTATTTGGGTTTTTCTGTTTTGGGGGTTCTCTTTTGTTTTTAGTGGTACGGTTAAGTTTTTGGAACCTTGATTTCTTGTTACACACAAAATGAAGTAGCTTCCTGTGGAGCTTTCATTGTTAAATGTACCTGCACTAGTGACAGTCACTTAGAATGTTTATATTTATAAAAATGTGGATAATAACTACCAATAAACTAATGGAGGCACTAGGAGAACAGTGTTTGACTTTGCGTTTCAATGTATTTCCATTTGCTGAAACTTTTAATTAGGTGTGCAAAAACAACTCTGACAGCTGGGTTACATAGTCCCATAGTAGTTTGGTTTTCCTCAAGTGTGACAGGCACCAAAGGCCGTTTTCTGGGAGAACCTTTTGTTTTTTTTTTAACCTTTCACTAAATGAAATCATGATATATACTCTCAATATCACTAGACCTGTTATGGATTAATAAAGCTTGCTGAAAAAAACAAGTCAGTGAATGGACTAGATGTTTAGCCTACCTGTACTTTTTATATACTTGATATATCAAATCATACTATTATAACTATCTCTTGAAAGTTAAAAGTGTGTTGATCCTTATTTTGTAGCCTAAGAATTTTGATAAGCAAATCCATGTTATCTAAGTGTTTCATATTTAGCTTACAAGTACAAAAAGAAAATGGCGTGAATACTATATTAGCTTTGATTTAAAAAATGTATTTTCAGCTCCAAAACTCTTCGTAATATTTTCCACTCTGCTAAGGAGTCTTACCAAAATACACCCGGAAGAATTATAGACAGTGCTTTTATATCTAGTTTTTTATTAAGGTACACCTTTTCTAAAGTATATTTCTAAAATATTTTCTTGTATTTAAGGTTATTTGGTTTAATACCCAACATTAATCAAGGACCGGATGACTCTAAATTCAAGTTACTATCAAAGATAAGTTAATTATAAAGAAATCTAGGCTTATTCCTAAATGGATTATAAGCACTTAGGAAAAAAAGTCGTGTAGTTTATGTAGACAGCATAGGTTCACTAAGAATCATGGAAAAATCATGGAAAAGTGAATAAATCTGTGGAAGCCAAAAAGTGAAGTTACTAGTAAAAATAAATGTACGTAGAGAGAGAATTGCTAGCCTGTAGAAGCATGATGGTTTCTGAACAGAGGGAAAGACCGAGACTTAGAATGTTTTTGTCTGTACAAGGCATTTGACACTTAAACAGTGTTTAATTAATTATTCATATTGACCTGGAAGGAGGTCTTTGGTAGAGTGTTTCAGGGTTCTACTTAATACAACAATTTCATCAGTAATATAAACACAATGGTTTCTTCAGTGATCATGAAAGACAAAAAAAATTTTTTTTAACTTTTGGTGATGTAACAGTCAACATCGAGCTAATACAAGTTGGAACTTTGAATATACCATCATTTGAAGTTGGAATTTTACATTCAAGGTTTAAATTTAGCAGAAGATTCTTAAATGGATAGTAGGGCTGCTTGTATCACTACTTGTGAATGTACTTAATGCCACTGAGTTATACGTCCAAGAATAGTTAAAAATAGTAAATTTTATGTATTTTTTACCACAATTAAAAATTTATAATATTAAGTGTACACTTAGTTTACAAGAATCAGCCAAAAGTAGAGTGAGAGCATCCTAATTTAGAGATCATATTTAGCTAGAAATTTTATGGAACACTGGAGTATTTAAAGCTTAATATGCCTTGGGTGCCTGGGTGGCTCAGTCGGTTGGGCATCCGACTCTTGGTTTCAGCCCAGGTCATGATCTCAGAGTATGAGATCAAGTTCCCCATTGGGCTCTGTGCTCAGCAGGAGTCTGCTTGAGATTCTTCCTTCTCCCCTCTGTCCCCCTCCCTGCCCGCACTCAAGTGTGGGGGTGCATTCTCTGACATAAATCTTTAAAAAAACTCAGTATGAACATACAGCATGTAAACTCATAATTGTAAAATTAATACTAAAATATATGATAATCAGAGATAATAGTCTCAACAAACCACAGCTGAAATATGTACTAAATCTGTGTATGCAAGTTAGAAACCTAGGAATACCTACGTGGGAGGCTAGTTGAGGAGGATATGTGTACTGGCTAAAAAGAGCAGGAGCTTTGGAGTCAGAGTAGTGTTCAATCCCTGGCTCTCCCGCTATACACTTGTGACCTTCTGGCTTGTTCTTTGAAACTTCTCATGTGAACGCCCTCCTGGGAAAATGAAGCCTGTCACAGAATTTTGAGAGGATTGAGTGAAATAATGTAAACTAGTGTCTCACCAAGTATTTCATAAGAACTCAATAAATGATAGCAGTTATTGTTAACCAGTATGGATCAATAGGTGTTGAGAGGCAGTTGATAATGGCTATAGAAATTCAGATTTGAGCCTTAGATCCACCATGTACCACTTTCTTTGGACAATTTATTTTCCTCAGCCTTAGTTTCTTCACTGGCAAATTGAAGCATATGCCTACTATTTGGGTTTAATTTACTAAAAGGCTTAAATGAGACAATGTATGATATTTAGGGAATACCTGCCACATAGTAAACATTTAATGGATCTTTGTTATTAATAGCCAGACTATTTTTTGACAAATAGATTTAAAGAAAACTTATTTTGGAGGGGAATGTTACGCAAAAAGCTCTTAATTTGTTTTTCTTAGCTTTCCTGCAGCATGGCACAAATGGGAGCTTGGTGGAGCTTGGGAAAGACAAAACATACTGAATTCTCTTGAAATCTGGGTCATTTCCTTAAATTTCTAAAGCACCAGTCTATTTTAGCACAATATAATCTCACCTTCCCTTGTAAGAAACAAACAAAATTTAAAAACATGGTTATTTTTTGGTATAGACACAAATCAAAATAGAATACTTCATTGCAGAAATTGAAAATCTGGAACTGTGTACATTGTGGTTCAGAAAGCCTCAAGATTGTTACCAATTTGCAGATTTTATCTAATAAGTTGGTATCTGTAGGCTGACCCTTCTGTGGAAACTTGCCAACATTTGTGGGCACATCTGGTCGATGATGGTGGTAATTTGTGTTTTCCGGACGGATGTGTGTGCTGTGTTAGTTTCCAATTACTTTCAGCTTAGGGTCATGTTTTTATGTGTTCTGCTTATGTTTTGCTGAAGTTGAGATTACCCACATTAGGTGTTGGGTTATAAAGGAGTTGAGTAGAAAATCCTGGGTTACTAGCCAAAATAAACCCATACTTTCTTTGGCCCTCTCTGAGTCTGTAATAAGGAAGAAATTAAAGCAGTGCCAAAATAGAAGTATTATCTGGATCATTGTCCCCCTTCCCTTCCTGTTTGAAGACTAACAGGTAACGCAGCTGTGTGTGTGTGCGTGCGTGCTGTATTTACCTCCTCTAAGTGATTGAAACTGGTATGGGTGAACATATTCTCAAACTGTGGTCCCTGGACCAGAAGTATTAGCATTACCAAGAAACTTGCTAGAAAGGCTGATTCTCAGGCTCTAATCTAGATATATGAATATATAAATTTGGGATTGGGCCCATCAGGTGATTCTGATTTTCATTAAAGGTAACCATTGAGTTACCAGAAAATCCAGTCACTTATCGTGCTAAAAAAATTGAATTAAGACAATTCCAATACCATAAGATTCAGGCCTTTTTTAAAAATACTTTTTCAAAAGCATGATGTTCGATTTATAGTAGCATCCAGTAAAACCTAGTTGAATGAACTTTAATCAAGCCAGCAGAAACACTATCTTTTATGTGTCATATCTTATAAATTTATTTTATACGTGCACGTTATATACAAGAGAAGGGAGCTTTGCTTGTTTACTATATGCTAAATCTCCTAAGATGTGTAGCAGTGTAGCATTCTAAAAATGGTGGTTGAAGAGATGTTGAG